TTTTAAGAGGAGGTTGGATGACCACCTTACTGGGGTCATTTGACCCCAGTGCTCTTCCTGCCATGGCAGGGGGTCAGACTAGATGATCTGCTCAGGTCCCTTCCGACCCTAGAAACTATGAAACTATAATCTAGCCTTTAACCCCTCCAATGTCAACCGGAGTTTGGAGACATAATAACCTAGGCTAGGTTGTTTTGCTGAGGCCATGTGTTAGAATCCAGGCCCCCCACTCTGACTCAGGCTGAAACCAAACCACAGCCGTGAGGAAACGGGTTTAATAGTTCAAGTGTGTCCTCCCCCAGCCACTACTGACTTGTAAGGAAATCTAAGATGTTTCAGCCCAAAGACCAGTTTCAATGACAGATCCTTTTGTGCATTCCAAGTCATAATTTTGAAGAGGATTTTGCTTCTCTTGTAAAACAACCCACTACTGATATCTATTTTATGCCACAGTGACCAAATTCTGTCCTTTATTTCATTATCAACATTTTATATTGTAGCCTTCATTAAGAAAGTAGGTAATCATATTTCAAAACAATCTGGTTAAATCATACCACTATATCCCATTAGTGACTTAATTCTGCATTAATGAAGTGAACAAGTGCTGGACTAGAAGTTGCTGTCAGCCTACATTTCAGTCACCAATTATCAGCAACTCAGAAACATCACTCAAAGTGATATTTACGGTCCTTCAGAGGTAAGCTTGCATGCAGCAAAAGATAGAATTGGGGCGTAAGTATGCCAGGCAAACCTACCGAATCAGCTGTTCAGCTAGGTTTAAAAAAAGAATTACCAGACGAGGAAACTGAGGGAAAGCAGAAGACAGCCGCTGCTTCTTTCTGCTGGCTTGGCAAAATCAAATCCATACAACACAAGACCTGAAAGCATCTCTGACATTTACTTCTATTAGTTGCCAGTCTTCTCACCTGTAATATTGCCTGTACAGTAAAGCCACTGAGGAACAGTAGAGCAAACAATCCTCTCTCTGTCTAATGACTTAAAAAGCCTCCTTTAAACATCCCTCCCCCCTGAAGAGCTCTCTTTATTTTACACACTCATACCATTAGAAGTAATGCTCGATTATTTATTTAAAACAGAGATTTTTTTTTCCCCCTATCTGTTTGCATGAGCTGAAAAACCCTCTGTGGCTACTTGAGTGTTGATGTTTCTTCTGTGCAACCAGCTTGTTCCTCCCACTTAAGAAAACAATCCCAAGGTGTTTTTAAAATAAACAAGTGAGGGACTAAACAAATAAACACAATTCAGTGCCTTTGTAAGAGCTACAGGAAACAACAAAAATCTGGGAGAATGTGAGGGCTGAAAGGGACCTCAACGGAGGTCCCTGAGTCCAGCTCTCTGCTCAATGCAGGACCATTGCAAGGGCCCTTTGGTGAGCTAAAGGGCTCAGAGCAACTCCAAACTGGTTTGAAAACGGGCTAGATTTCAACCTGTCTTTCGTTGTCGTAGCACGCACTCCATGCACCCAACTGCAAAGCTGGGACGAGGCCAGATGCTGTATTTCAATCCTGAAATGCAGGATGGGCTCTTTCGCTTACCAACGGCTTGGCCGGGATATCCAGGTGAGCTGGAAGCGACTCCAAAACGGACCAGAGGCCTCCCCTTGCACGGCTCGCTCGTCTTTCGCTTCAGCAAGACTGCAGCAGCGTGCGCTCTGTCCAGCCAGGGAGCCGAGCACCGAGCCCAGGTGTGGCTGGCAGGGTCTTTGCTTGGCTGGGGACGTGGAAACAAGCTTGCAGGTCAAGAAAATGGCTCATCCCGTGCCCTTGTCTCTTGCACAGGTCCACGGGGATGTCCCCCGTGTGAAGCCAGAGACCCTGTCTGCCACACCTGGGCAGGGGCTTGCGTGCAGAGCGTGGGCTGCTTGCTGAAATGAAAGACGAGTGGTCAAAGCGATTCAAAACTAGTCTCGGGGACGCTTCAAGTGCTGCCTGAGGCTGCTCGTGCTCCCTGGATTGATTCCTTCGTTGGTTTTATATCTAGTTCTTGGGGAGCTGGTGCCGCAACAAACCCCTGCCACTGGCGATGCGGGAACAACAGGGAGACGCCCGAGGCCGCCCTACCTTCTCCTCATCCGACACCCGATCCTCCAAGTCCGCCATCTTGATTCCACGGCCGCCGCCGCGCCGAGCGCGCCGGGAACCGCAGCGTCACCGGAACCGGAAACCCCCCACTTGGAGAAGAGAAGCTGCCCCCGCCATCTTGGGAGTGGGAAGTTGAGTGGGGGAGTGGAATGTGGGGCGCTAACTTGGTGGAGGGCATTGCTGAGAAGCAAGGAAGCCGCCGCCGCCATTTTGGGAGTGGGCAGAGGGGGGTGTGTGGGTGTGGTGGGGGGGAGTGGGATGTGAGGCGCCATCTTGGTGAAGGGCATTGCTGATGCGGGAGGAAGCCGCCCCCGCCATCTTGGGGGTGGGCAGCTGAGGGGGGTGAAGTGTGCTTGTGTAGCTCCGAAGTAGCAGCCCGTGTAAACGCACTGCCCCTGCTCACATGCAACTAGACACAGCCTGGCTGCCCTGTTGCCAGCCTCTCCCTTGGGAGAAGGGCAAGGTGGCAGTCATTCCTTCTCCAATTGCGCCATGAATGTAATGTGCAGTGAGGGCAGGACCTGTCAGGCAGGGCCCGGGGCGCCTCTCAGGCTGGACGATGCCATCCGCAGAGCGGGCAAAGCAACAGGCTCAGCCGCTGCCGGGCGCAGCCGTGACTGGGCTCCGCTCCGGACCCGGGAAGGGGGATGGCGGCAAACCCGTGGGGCCAGATGTCCCCCTGAGTGGGTGCAGCGTGGGCCCAGGCCCTTCCCAGGGTGGTTGCCGCCGGCCGACTGCCACCTGCTCGTGGCACTTGCACACGCGCCTTACCCATGCGCCACGTTGCCCAGACAACCGCGGAGCGCTGAGGACAGACCGAGGGGAATGGGCTTGTTCAGACTGCAGAAGGGAAGACTGAAGGGATTGGATAGCAGGTGGATGGATCTGGACTGTTCTCAGTGGGGACGGACGACAGGACAAGGAGCAATGGGCTCACATTGCAGCAAGGGAAGTGGAAGTTGGATATTAGGGAAAACTTCCTCACTCAGAGGGTGGTGAAACACGGGGACAGACTCCCCAGAGAGGTGGTGAGTCTCCATCCCTGGACGTGTTTACGACCTGGGTAGATACAGCTTTGTCTGGGATGATGGGGCTGGGGCTGGGGCTGGGGCTGGCCCTGCTTGGAGCAGGGGTGGGACTGGATGCGACTCTCAAGGAGAAGGGTCCAACCCTCATTTTTATGTGATGATATCATTGTTCTCCATGGGGCAGATGGCAGCACAAGGGACAATGGGCTCCAGCTGCAGCAGGGGAAGTTGAGGGTGGAGATGAGGAACAGCTTTCTCAGCAGGAGGGTAGTAAAGCATTGGTTGCCCACAGAGGCAATGGCATCTCCACCTCTGGAGGTGTTTAAGACCTGGGTAGGCAAAGCCTTGTCTGGGATGATGTAGCTGGGGCTGGTCCTGCTTGGAGCAAGGGTTGTACTAAGTGTGACTCCCAAGAGGACGGATCCAACCCTCACTTTTCTGCAATGATGTGATTGCTCTCAGTGGTGCAGCACGAGGGGCAATGGGCTCCAGCTGCAGCAGGGGAAGTTGAGGTTGGAGATGAGGAACAACTTTCTCAGGAGGAGGGCTCCTCAGGGAGGTGGTGAATCTCCACCCGTCAAGGTGTTTGAGACCTGGGTAGACAAAGCCCTTTCTGGGGTGACGTAGCGGGGGCTGGCCCTGCTTGAAGCAGGGATTGCACTAGTTGGGGCTCCCAAGGGGAAGGATCCAACCCTCCCTTTGTAATGATGTGATTGCTGTCAGTGGTGCAGCACAAGGGGCAATGGGCTCCAGCTTCAGCAGGGGAAGTTGAGGTTGGAGATGAGGAACAACTTTCTCAGCAGGAGGGTAGTAAGCACGGAATCCCCAGAGAGGGAGTGAATCCCCATCCCTGGAGGTGTTTAGACGGG